TGGTTGGCAACGTACTACCAGTAGATATCTGTTTAGGATCGTTAATTCCTACAACCTTTTTCACTCATGCTATTGTTGTTTGTCATTATTTTTGGCCAGATGGCTGTGCTGATTGATTGGCCACCAACTAATTTTCCCTTGCGGCGGCGTACTTAGTCATTTACGGCCGCAATTTCTCCATTGTCAACAATACACGTTATCTGACTGCGTCAGCTGGCACTTTTCCGGTTACCTTTAGCTATCATGGATTTATGGTCTTTTATACAGTATCAGCCCCTCAAGCTGCTCGCGACACTTTTGCACTACTGTCCATTCCAAACAGTCAATTTTTGTGAGCATTGGCCGTTGGGCTTTCCAGTGCTATCTATCCTGCCGTCGACCGAGAGGATTACGCGCCTGCTTTGTAATCCGAGGGTTACCAGTTCGAATCCGCGGGCGACCTCCGGAGTAGGCAACCCTCGCGTGACTGTTGCTGGTCGCGCCATAATGCCGTTGCATCTTTATCTCTCTGCTTCCCATGTGAACACACTTTCGGATCGGTTTGCAGATTTCGTTACCCAATCTACTCTTCTATCTTCATCGTTCTATGCAGGCTAAACTTAGTGGAAGATTTTTTCCCCAGTCAGGTTACTATGGCACAGTTATTCAGTGAACTATATATCTTCCAGTCTTTCTCACTCCTCAGGCGACATTTTCCAGGAACCTCCGATTTCCTAGTGTCTGTCTGCCAAGTATTCCTTCCTTCCATCTTACTGTTTCTTTTGCACTCTGATGCGGTGCATAACGACGAAATGTCAGTCATTTACACGCAGTTTTTTGTCTGCAACCGCTCTTTTAGTTGTTTTACAGCATATTCTACAACGCTGCTCAATCTTCTCTCTTCTCTGGACATATCACTCCTCGGTTGTATTGCCTACTCTAATGGTTGCAATTTGGTTCAATTTAGCCGAGTAGCGATCGATCCGTTTGCTTTGACTCGACTTGCCTTGCGCGTAAGTTGGAAGAACCAATCCGTAATCATTGCATGGGGCAGATTGGGATATTGGGTTTTACTACGCATAAATCATTGCTGTTACATTTCTGCCATCCACCACTTTGGCCCAATGATCCTATGGAACCATCAGACCACGCACTTTGAGTCCACGGAGTTTGCTCTTAGCATTAGTTGCTCAACCTCTGAATCGCCTCCACGTAGCACTTTACGGATGCTGTAGTCTGTTGGTCAGGGGTTTATCAAGCAGACCCTCTGGTCTCTTCCCGGGGCATCTATTGAACCCCAGTTAACGTTACTGGTTGAGTCGTGCGCTTCGTAGGCTTGTTGACCGACTGCCTACCCTGGCGTTCATTGTTTGTCGTTGCTGTATCTGTGCCAGTCTTCAGAATGCTGGGTAGATTCACGGCTCACGCCGAGGAAGTCTTGACTCGGGTGTCCAACCAGTCCTTTGCACGGTCACCAGCCTGCATGGCAGTGGTTAGTGGGTCGGGTTATGTCGAAGTTGGATTTCAGTCCGTGATGCTTGGCTATCGTCCCCCGTGACTCAGTAACATAAGCTGCCGGCTAGTAGTGCAAGCCACTAGCGGTTATCTGTTCGGTTCCCTGGAGATGACCGCGGGAATGCGCACCACTAACAAGCCCCAATTAGGTGAAACGATCGTCAGCTGCTTTCCCAGATTGATAGTTGACGTCTCTGGCTTGTAACCTAATTGCAATGAACTAGCATCTTATCAGGTCCCTCTATATTCATGAGAAGTAAAATTCTGTATGACCGACCCCTGACGCGGTCGCGAAACGTGAAGAAACTCATCGGAAACCCAACTAGACTTAGCATGTTTATACTCTGTGTTGCACCCCAGGGGTCCGTTACATTAATAGCTTTGTACTGTATCAGCTATTGCGAACTCATGCATTCGGTGGTGCCTTTGCACTCGTTCCATTATATCTGGATCAGAATAAGGGATTCGTCACTATTTTATGACACCTTCGGGCGATCGCGGCTCAGCAACGGAAGTCGTGTCTCTGGGAACCAATTCTGTCATCTATGTGTTGGAAATGCGCCAGGTATTAGAGGATGAGCTATGCTACAAACTTTCAAATTACCTATTGGTTTCATCGAATACATGGTTTCAGTTGTTTATGCGATTAGTCTGATGGATTTGGAGTAGGTTGGGCTCATGGCAGATGGCCTCAGCTGTTACTACAGCGTCTACTGCTGATACTCGCCTTACTGCTTGCATGCACCTCTGGAAGGTATAGAGTCTAGTTAGATTTAGAGGTGCTAATTTACAGCGGGTCTGTGCATTTTTTCATGTTTTACCCGCTTCTAGTAACATGTGTATCTCTCTCAGGTTATGCTACTTCTACTTCACTCTATTCCCGTGCGGGTACGATCGATAGTTTACATACATGAACTCGATCCCACTAAATCTGAACGACGCGCTTCAGCTAATTCACACAGCTGGTCGCTTTTCTTTCTTTTCGTTCCTCTCCCATCTGAGCTCCTTCACTACTTTTTCTCATACACACGTGACCATTGACACGAACAGGCTAAACCGACTCCGAATCTCGAACCGGGCTGCGTCTCTTACCTCATCTTCTTTGCATTCCGACACACTTCGAAGGAATCTGTCTGCTTGCGTATCTGGGCATGTTGACCTCGATCTTCTCACCACATGCTGATGCCTGAGAATTTGTAGTGTTGACGCTTATTCTTGATTTTTGCCACGCATGTCCTCTACGCTTTTCCACGTGCTTTAACTGAACTAGCTAGTCGACGCCACTGCATTCAACTTGCAGCTCTAATTATGAGGCGTTCTTCTGTCTACTCTCTTACTTAACACCTTTGCTCCCGAAATGCCCCAGGCGTATCGATTTGCTGTCATTTCTTTCCCCGTGAACAAAGAGCACGTGAGAGTGGTGTGATTTAAGCCACCGTGGTCCCGTCGTGTGTGTTCTTGCTGGTGCATCGTGTGACCAATCGCTGGATTTATCACGATTGTGTTCAGCGCGACTCATCCTCATTCGTTTTGTGGCCGTAACCGATGGGGTAACCACACCCACGAGATCACCTCCAGTTCCGCCGTGTTTCCTAGTGCTGGACCTTCAGCAGTTTCTCTCTCGGCCGATTATTGCCTTACTTTGGCTTGGATGGGCTTGTGTTGTGCCCCAAGTGTCCAGATTACTTGTGTTGCGTTTGTTGTTACATGATCCTCCCTGTCGACTGATGCGACAGTGGGGACTGTGTCGCTCTGGGCATGCTCGACAAACCAGCGATGTGAAGTTCTCCACGTTGCATCTTTTAATCTACGCCCAGTCACTGCATATGTATCTGTGAAGCACGCGCCACAAAAAACGCCTTGGTCCATTTTGTAAACCGTTTCACAGCAGCGCTTTTACGTCGAGTTGAGAAGCCCATCATTCCAAACTGAAGTCTGATTGATTGTTGATTACACATGAATATTCGCACTTAAGCTGCAGTCTTTGGGACCCAACAGCTTGATGAATCTTTTTACCAGTATCCCCACTGCGAGAAGTCTTCCATTCAGAGGTTGTTGTGTAACTCTATGGTGTCTGAATGAATGAACGGCTTGTCGAAGTAGGAATACGTTCGATTTACCAAATATTCCAGACGTAGACAATCGGATCCATAGTTTGCGAACAAGCTTGTTTTTGGTGCTTCGTCAGTGTAATACACCACGAAAACACCCCGTAAGGCCACAGTTTCAGTGGCCTGGTGGTGGTGTGGTCCACATTTAGGTATGTGAATGCCTGGACAAATTTTTGTATGCACACAAAGGTCAGAGTCATGGAGCCGAATCGCGATCGCCTCGGCTGCTGCCGGTAAGCATCGTTTAACCTCTCGTATATGGCAGCGTCTGGTGTTACGCGGTAGATGCGAGATGAAACACATTGTGCACTTTGATCTGTTGGTTCAAATCTACTCGTTTGGCAGACACGGGACTTGTCATTATTCCAGCCACTCCGCTATACAGGTAAGCTGGACATCGCTTGTGAGCTCCCTCAGTCTCTTGGTTAGCACGCGTAAGCGAAGGCATTAACACATAGAAATGCTTGACCTGGGGATCTTGTCCTTATGTTTCCGATGCAGAACTAGTTTTGGTCTGCAACCTAACCGTAAGCTTCCTCCATATAACGATTTCGGAAATGACGTCAGCTGGCCTTCTGAATAGTGATTCCGCAATCCCACCGCCTCCTTTGATGGTGGCAGTAGGTAAACCGGTCTTTTTCCCGTCGAAAGCACTTTTACCTTTGTTTCTCGAAGCTCCATTTTTATCCGAACGAACTTCTCCGGGTAACCGTCTCTATTGCACAGGCTTCGCATGGAGTCATTTGATGTGCATGTGGTCGCTGCATTTACTTCTTGCTGGTGGGATAGAGCTGACAAAAGTTCCCCACTGCTTTAATTCTACGATGGGCTAACCTATCCGACCTTCGACTTATCTACCCTGGTGTGAATCGGTTTTACAATATTTGGCTAGGCGGCTAACTATTCTTTTTGTACATCCTCTCCTCGGGATTCGTCACCCCATTTTTTCACTATTATAATTCTTCTCACTTTATTGTTCACCAAAATTCATTGGATCCGGTCTGTTTAGTATATCTCTTTCGAGCGACCTAGTGGTTCTATGCGGTCAGCTAGTCTCCGGTTCTGTCCGATTATCATTGTCCCATGCAACAACAGGTCTATGAATACATACAACGTGCGGAGAAAATTTACGCCAAAGTATTCGGTCCATGCAGTTCCAGTGTGCTCAAAACTCTGAACACTTTGGTGAGCTGAGCTGGGAACGCAGTTGATTGTGCTTGCCGAGCCGCATGTCATCGATGGGTGTGTCTCCCTCTCTCGCAACGCCATGCCTAGTGATTCTCTCTGCTGTTTGTTTCTCCACTTTCTCTCTCTGTTTTTGTGTGTATGCGCATCTATTTTAGAGTCTCATCGCATGAATCGTTTCCCATTTGCATGTTTGCTGTTGTGAAACAGGTTGAAATGTACTATCAGCGTGCTTTGGAGATCTATCTTCACACCCTGGGTCCCGATGACACAAACGTGGTGAAAACGAAGAACAATTTGGTGGGTGCTGTGTGTGCGTGCGTTTCACTTTTGTTCCCACTCTACTCCCTACTGTTAAAACAGTGGACTACTTCCTCGTCTCTTGCATGTGCATACTCGGTCTGGAGGCCAAGATGTTTTGTAACTTTCCTTTCTCTCATCACCCTCATAATAACAGTAGGGTCTTCAATCCGAGAACACTCTCAAATCGCTATCACCTTCTGTCCAGTAGATACATAATTGGTGAAATTTTCTCTGCATGCTTTTACGGTATGCTGAATTTGTTTTAAATGTGAAATTAGATGAAAAGCAACACAGTTCTATAGCTCTTTTCCTGTTAACTCTCCACCAAACGACTGTTTGAGCGAATTATCATTCATTTCACTGCGAACGCATTGGTCAGACACTGGAGCGGCAACGTGTTTATGCTTAGAGGTTATCTGTTATCACTGCGACGACGAAATAATTGCCTACTGTTCTTCCTTGATCAGTTGTTTAATTCACCAGATGTGGCCCGTGCATTGTAGCACCCTGAGTAATACTGTGAACCAATCTGAGCACGACCCATAGTTCCTCCTTAACTCTGAACCAAGGACCTTATCTGCCGTTGGTGACTTCTCGCACACACCGCCATCAAGCTGCGAAGCAGGACCCACCCCCCGGTAATCCAACCAAGCATGATCGATTCTTCTCGCTCTCAATGCTTTACACTGGGCATCCTCGTGTCTCTCTTGCCTGACGACTTTGATGACGTGCGTCTGGTGCGTTAAATGCACCTTCGGGGAGGATGGATTCACATGTATGCTGCCTTCTACCATGTGTCTTCATCAGCCATGCCACTGTCCCCTACGCACGCAATCGCTGTGCGTCGTTCACGTGAGCTTGGCAGATCGATCGTTTCATATTTACCCACTGTCACAGAACCCCCCCTGTGCCCATCGAACTACGGCAAACTTTATTGCACTGCAGCGCTAGTGTTCGTGTTGGATTATCTATTTTACATCTGCCCTGTTATTCTCAGCAAGTCATTTTGGATCGTTTTCATCAACCGTCAAACGAAAGTCGTTCATCTTGCACAGACGAAGGGGTTCAAACCCAAGCGTCGTTCCACCATAGACCACGGGAAACAGAATGCGTTACTGCGACTAGTTTGCCCTGACACCTCTATAGATCGGATGGCTGTTTTCTTCTGCTGCGCTTAGAGATATTCATTGATTTGCTTTTTTTCACGCCGTACCTAAGGCCCACAACGCCCATAATCGCCCTGTGTCGTCTGCTTCTTCTCCGGATTTGCACCGTCTCAGTAGCTGCAACCAGCCTCGGACATCATGTACTACACCACTTACACGCCACACATCCAATTTTAACCCGAAGGAAATGGGGTCAGAAGGTAGTATGCGTATCAAAACCACTATTGTTTTAAAACCCACGCATTTCATCGACACACATCTTCTCCATGGGTGGGCGAAGCTGCGTGACACTACTCCGTCGCCATGCCAACGCCCAGTGACTGTAGGTACAACTTGCATAGCGTGTTACATGGGCACCAGCCAGAAGGAAGAAAGGCATACTCACCACATGTTTATCTCCGGAAATAGGGAATGCGTAGTATAGGTTCAGAGGCAGCAATTCTCTCTAGACTTAGAATCGATTTTTCCTCCGTGAAACAACATACTTCTTTTGCATGCTTTTGGATTCCGTATCACATCATTCGAGCCAAGCTTTCAGCTACTAAGGGTTTAGTGGCAGATCTATTTGAACTGGGCTCTACGATAATTACACACAAGAGACTTCAGTGAATAACCAAGCTCTCCGCCACATTTAGTTTAGTGCTTCGCGTGGCGATTGACGGGTAAAGGCTCTATGTCGATTAAGAGTTCTAATACGATCTATCTCAAACCCTATAAGACCATTGACTGCGATTTCCATCGATTGACTTAGGAAACGTTCGCTATTGTTACCACAAATAGTTGGAAGTTTACTCTTCCTAACAAAGTTCGCGGGATCCACACATGGGACTAAGCGAATTTCACTGTTAGGCTAAAGTGCTTCATGCATACCCATTTCAGAATGTTGGAAGAAATAACCAGAGGTGATGGAACAGCATTCCGCGATTTCAGCTTAACCGACTATCACATTACAAAGCGTTCCGCGACTTCACATTTCCACCTCTAGTGAATGCATAATCTTATCTGCTTCTTCAATGGAGCCACGTAATTCCTTCAGTTGGAACTGATCACTTTGGGATGATAATCGTATCATCATCGTTTTGCCGTGCACAGATTGTGGTCATAGGGTGACTACAAAAGCGCTTACGAACGGATGTTTCAGAGGCCTGTGTGCACCAACCATGCTATTCTCCATCGGTAATCATTTTCGAATTTATTGAACACCTAGCACTACACTGGTAGGCATATATACGAAAACCACGATTCCAATGAACTCGGGAACTTGTGCACGTAATCTGCTTCTAAGGAACTAACCCAAACCTACGGTCCGTCATCATCAATAACAACAGTACATCTGCCATTTGAACTGATGCTTCGCTGCCATATAACCATGATGACCTATGGAATGAAGAATAACAAGAGGGAGAGAATAGGGACTTACCTGAAAACCTCAATGTCCTAAGCAAACATTCAGGGTCACGGTGCGTACACCTTGTGTTAACAACATACGGTCACAAACAGTTGGCTTTAGTGCAAAGATAAGGCGGTATCAGCGGGACAGCCTCCTTGCGGCTTTCACTGCCCCGCGTCATAATCAGCCATTACCCCGCAGCTAACTCAACACCAAGCACACATCAAACAGGCAATCCGACTAGGAGACGGCAGCAGACACGCCACTGGTGTCGGTTCCGAGCCATGTTCTGTAGTCTCGATTCGAGAACAAGGCGGATCACATGGACTACAGCCGGGAAAGTGAGACGGACCAACGGCACCCAGTTACGGTCCAGTTACAGTAGAACCCATTCCTTAACGCAGTTTAAACCACTGAGCAGTCGCCCACTCTCGCGGATCGGCATTTGAGTGTTGGATGGAATTATCGCGAGCTCTGCCGCTCTTCTTTCCACCTACGCAGGCTGGTTCCTCGATATCGAATCATCAAATGTTTCATTGGTTGGTCTAAGCCATCCCGAACTCGTTACCGACTGTGTACCGCAGGGTACGTATTTATCTGTACCTGCCCGCCTCTTGACACAACTCAAGTGGATCTTCTCGATGAACTCGGTACTTACTTCATTGACTGTACCGCTTAAGTAATACAGCGCCCGAGATAGCAGACTCAGTGAATCACCGGTGTTGTGCGACGGTGGGCTCCATTTTAACCGCCTCGGCCTATAGTAGACTATTTTTAAGCGATCTCTGACACCGGTCTCCTTCACTTTTTCTGGCATGTAGTTGTTAAACCGTCTAAGAAAGATAGTCTTGCTCTCCGCTCGCACCTCATTGGGTGGCCACGTGATTAACCTATGTGGGGTGACGAAATCGGTAGATGCGAGAATTTCGTACTGTCTCCTCCATGCCAAAAAAGCATGGATTTAGTCACAGAAAAGGGCAATCATTCATATTTAAGCTAGCGGTCGGGGGCAAATGGTTTGCTCTCTTCATAACGCTTGTGAGGCTGACACAACCATTTCTGACCATACGATGCAGATTTTACCCAGACCATCGTGACAGCCTCAGTGAACCGCAGTAAACGGGCATTGACTTGTCTTGATGCAAACTGTGATCATTTGACGATATATTTCTGCCTATGGATGAGGCGCGCTGGGGGTGGGGCTTCCGTTTGCCTATGGAATGAGAAGTAGTGGAGCAGGTATGATGCCCGGTTGGGCCTGTTTCGATACGTATTCTCTCATTCTAGACTACGTCACCCTATCAGTTCTGCCTACTAGCATGCTCCACAACTACATGCATCTCGGTATATTCAGGGTTATCTGGTGCCATTAAGTTGTTCTTCGTTCGATGTGTCGACAAGCAGATTTGTTTATCAATCACTTTCTGACCAGCACATGAACTATCTGGTCTCACGTGTCACTGACAATCATTTGTTATCATTTTACTGTCCCGGTTTGGTGGCATGGTTGATTAAAATCGCTTTGGTTGCCACTTGACGCCAATGAACTTCCCATCGAATATCTACCTTGGCCGTCAATCATTTTCTCAGCGTTAGTACAGCGCAACTATAAACACGTTTCGCTTGAAGCACAACGCTTGGCTGTGCGCAACACTTTTTTCGCTCTTATATCTGAACTTCTCAAAATTCACCGAAGCGCATCTGCTTTGCATGCATTCAGCTCACTAATCATTTGTTAAATCGGAATCCAGCTTAACCTCTTCCTGTTTCATCACACAGGCCTCTGCCTATCTGAAACAAGGCAAGTACGCAGAAGCGGAGGAGCTGTACAAACAGGTACTCACACGTGCACACGAAAAAGAGTTTGGAGAGATTTCCGCCTCCAATAAGCCCATCTGGATGTTGGCAGAGGACCGTCAACTTGGCTTGGCGTACAACAATGATGCCGTACAGCCCCTCGCATTACACTTACCCAGGCAAGAAAAGTGCGTTTGTAACGATACATCCAGGCTTTTTATCGTTGATCGAACGCTAAACGGATTATTTCCCCCCTCAGCATTTTCACCTTTTTTAATTCTTTTTACGCCTTTCTTTAATCTGTAATTTTTTCCGATCAGGTGCTCACTCCTCTTTTAAACCAATCGACTCATTTCACCTTGTTTCCTTTGGCGTTCACTTTGTGCATCCGTTCGGTCAAATCACTCTGCACTCTCTTAGGTTTGTCGCATGTATTGTCTTCAAATTATGCATACACGTCAGGCAACACTGATTAGTATTTGACTACCAAACCCGATCTTAGTGATATGGGTAATGAAACTGTTGAGAACGCAGCGCAGTGCAGCCACGTCCGGATGGCATAATAGCAGTCGGATATACTTCATTGGTGGTCCCCTTCTCACTCTGTTTCACTTCACGCCTTCCACAACGTATCGTTGGTGGTTGATGTGTGCACTACACACCATTCGTCCACGGCGATTGATCATTCCTTGATTTTATCACTTTTGCTAGAATCTACTACTCGTTACTGGCCACTTAGATACCCAGATGGTTCATCTATCAGAGACCGACCACAACCATCAAGATCCTTTCGGAGTCATACAAGCCCTGTATCAATTGGACCATCTTCCAACGCACCACATTTGTGCCACATCATTCAGTGTCCATCTAACCTTACCCCACTATCTTGAACTTGGATCAGTCGTATCGCCGTCTGCCACGGGTGGCACACACATGAGCGCGGAATTGTCGACTGTTTTCCAACCCTCCGAGCATGCACTAATACGTGTGTCACACTTGTTCTTCGGTCTTCTGCCAGATGCTCACATTCAGCGTTACTCCTTCACCCATGCATCACTACGAAGCCTCGAGTGTAAAACGACAGTTCTCACTGAAAAGCCAGGTGATTCGGCCAATTATCAGTTTGGATCGTTTCTAGTGTTCCCTAAAACTAGTTTCCGAAGCTACCACCTGTTCACTTAACTTGTTTTGTTCTCGAAAACGTCCATTCGTTTGTCTGTTTCGCGGAACAATATACTATCAATTCATTAGTTCCCGGATGTCCGCGGGGTTACGAAACCGCAAATGCCTAGATTTCTAGATGGCGTTGGCAATCTGCACTCATCCACAAAATGAAGAAGACTGCCCGTATGGGGCACAGCTAAACACTGTTCCAGTTACCTGAACTACGCATCTAACAGTCGATCATTAAGGCAGTTACTCAGATCTGCTTGGAGCAGGTCATTCCAAATGAAACTGAATCGATGTATTGTCAGCGCCTACCGAACCGCCTAATCCTACTTAGGAACTTGAATCCATTCTTCTCTGTATCCAATGGATCTGACAAAGTGGTGCTGTTGTGACTGTTACCTTTTATCATTTGTTCAAGCAAATGGCTCCTTCACGCTCAGCCGAATGAGCTGCATTCGGCCTTCATCCACTGCTTTATATGCTGTGAGCAAAACGCACAGTGATAAGCGTTCCGTTCTCTACCACAATAGGCTCTCTTCGTCTCCTCTGAGAGTTGTGTTATAACGCGTCCTAGTTTTTTTGACTCAGTCGGAACGGACGAACGTTCTACACAGATAGTGCCCCACGTCTGCAGAAGAGGCACTTGAATTCGAAACCTTACCGGCTAACGTGACCTAGCCGCCAGACTACACGCGAGCTGAGACTGGAGACGAAAAACGCGTAACCTAGCACAACCTGAGCGAGAAAGAAAGACTGGCCGTTAGCAAGAGTTCTTTTACTGACTCAGTCAAGGCGAAGCATGCCTTACACACTTTCATGCTTTGATATAATAGCAGTGTAGTGCATACTTATAGAAGGTGATAACGTCCTGTAGGCAACTCAGTATCAATGTGGGCTTGTGCGGCAACTGCCACAGCAACTGTGCAGCTCAGGTGGTTCGCTGTGGTTTTACACACGATAGATGCATCAGTGTGCTGAGGAGAGCTCACTTAGTTCTCCGTGGTGTGACGTCTATGTCCTGCGACAGCTCGGTGCTTACTCGCGCAGTCTGACTCCTTACATAGTGATTGTACGTCTGAGGTGAGCGTGGCAAGATATGCGCAAGTTTCGCGGGACTATGCGAGCTCCGCAACAAGCTGTCTATAGTCAGATCGCTCTCTTGTCCTCCCTCCAACCTTTGCACGCCACTTCATGTGGCTATTTCAACCGGACCCGCCGGGGCACTGGGGCCGATAGTCGCACTGATCGAAATCGACTTGAGCACTGCTGTTTATTATGGCCACATGTTACCATTACTTAGACATAAATCGCACACTTATTCGCGTGGTCCATCACTTCTGACTCGTCTCTAGGTGTTGATCCCGTGCCCCCACTCCTCAATGCATTTCGACCGGGTCTACTACCACCCATTTTCCTTTATAACCTATACTACTTATCAGTAGTTCGCCAAGAATCGATTACCCTTCGCTATTTCAACGAACGCTCACTAACCTCTTAGCCCCGTCATTGCTGTTGTGATTAGCATGGGGATTAAGTATCGGGAATACTAAATAGCTTTATCCGATCTGTATTACACCACTAGCTGCACTGTTACTTAAACCCGCTCACCTGCGGATGACCTTGTTCTATTGAGATCATCCTCACCCGGGTGCAAACACTACGTACAGCAGTGTTGCTTGTTCCATCACAAGCCCTCTTTCGTCGTCAGAATGCAGAGGAATGCGGTAGAGCTGGGTTACCGCCCTATCATCTTCCATGATCGTTTTACTGATCAACCACGTCACTCATCTACACTGCCGAATCGCTTCTTTAAACGTACTCATCCGAGGGCGCTGCGGTCTACGCGACCGCTACCGTGGCTTTGCATCGTCGTCATCCCCTGTGAAGAAAGCGAGGTAACCGCTCTTCAGACAATTAGCATACCTTGTCAGCTTCGTTCTACGTTGCAGTTGTACCTTTTCTTTTGTGTCTACCATGCGACCATATTGAACCTGCAACCGCGTAACATCAAGAAGTGGAGAGGGATCTAAATTAAAGATAACGTTCGGTGTCGAGACACCTACAACTGGTGAGCAGCGCACCATCCTAAACAGTTGCCTATTGCACAGCAGATAACGCGGTATCATCGAGACTGCTTCCTTATGATTTTGACTACCCCAAGTCATAGTCAACATTACTTCAGACGAGTAGTCGACCGTCGGAGAAATGGTCGTAAACACGGCCAATGCTGCTTTTGTGCTATATACTGTCGCCCAGGCAACCGAGTGGTGCGAAAATCTGCCTTATCCTGGTTCTGGTTTTCGTTAGTGCATGTGATTTCTCCGTACTTTTTGCCTCCATTCCATTTCTGATGATTTCGGGGCGGAAAAGCATTGTTATCTTGTACCGGCTCACCTCCTTTTCTTCAAGCTCTCTAACCCGAGGCACGCAGTGCGGGGGAATTACTCCTTCCATCATAGTTGTTCGCACTTTCCACGTGCGAAACTGACAACAAGCGCAAAGAGCAGATTGTGTCAACTTGTGATTGTCATATGGTGAGATTTAGTCGTTCATATAGTCTAAATCAACCAGCTTCTCAGACTGCGCCTCAGTACCCACTTCGGGGTTTTCCATTATGAAACGATCCATATCGGAGCTCACGATACAAATGAATCAAGATATGCAACTCCAAAATTTTTGGCGAGCGCCATGATATTACTCATTCTTTGTTGTGCCACTTAATCTTCCTCTTCGCTGATTGGTCAGCAATCTAATGCTCAAGACAACATCAGGTATGTTTATCCTGATCAGGCAGCCGGTGGACAGTGTCCAGTTCTCCGGTTGTTTCGTTCAGGTACATCGAAGTGAGCACACTTGACGCGCATCCGCGTTTCCCTTGGCGTGGTGCGTTCGACGCGTGCGTACATTTTATTGCATGTTTTTTAACGTATGTTTAGAGATCATGACTGCGCTGCTGCCCATCCGTTGGGTGTGTGTATGTGTGTTGCCGTAGTTGGGGTTTGTGGATGTTGATTATGCTGACGACTCAGTTGTGGGGTAAACGCTACTCTTTTCCATATCGTTGTTGACTTTCTAACCCGATTAATTGTGAGAAGGATTTGTTCTCCTAGCTGAGCATTTCAGTTACAGATGTTTCGTAGCGAAGCTAGGCAGCATCAGTGCGACTTTCACGTTTCAACTCGCAGACCCTCATGAGCTACTGCCAGATCCGAGTGATTATTATTGATCAGTTCCTACTTCGAGTGTCAGCCTTCGATGAACTTAGATTGTTTGACCAAGTAATCACCTACTTCACTTTATGGATCTGACACCTATTTCTGATTTAATCTGCAAAGCTTATTGGATATCCACTAGATGCATGTTCTGGTTGATTGACTTCTGGCCCGAATACTAGGTCACAATGAGTTCACGACCTCTGCGTCTTTTTACCCTTACAATTATCTTGATTTTCCAAGCGGGCGAAGTGTAAGTCGTAGTTTGCGAGATGACGTCGCCATTTCTTGCCGTCTTATCAATCTCAAACATGCAGTAATGATAGATATACCAACTTTTAGTACCTTATGGGATAGTACATGACCAAGCGATTGCGCCGCATGGGTGGTAGGCTTAGAGCCACAGCTGTTTGTAACGACACAGCGATAGGCGTTCATGATTTGTGACGATAGTCTCCAGCAGCCTGCAAATGTGGAACCCCTGATCGCGTATTAGGACTGTGAACCCCATTCATCAGGATTAACTCTGGGACGTGTGGTTGACAAGTGCCTTGTGGCTTAATTGTCGAAGCAGCTCGCTTTCCGATTCGCTCGTCACATCCGGCTGCGTAACCAGTTAGGGATGTGTTCGTATGACAGTGAAGCGTTCTGCTAATGCTCTGTCTCGGTATTCCGCTAACAGACTGGACACAATTGGCGTTTTACTGGTGCCACCCTGTATCAGCTCCATACTTGGCCATGGGTAATCAACCCTGGCCAGTCTTGGCTGAAAGTACCACGAAGCAATTTGAAAATGCTAAACCATGTCTATTTATACAGAACGCTTGCACCCATAACTCTTTCGATGATGACATGGGTTTGGGTGGCTGACCTATCAAAACTCAGCATATCTCTCACTTCTTCTTTGCTAATTTAAACCAACATGGCCAGGTGTTCCACTTAATACATCTACCTTCATTCACAGTTTCCATCAGCTCTGCGCTGCATCCACGGTGGCCCGTAAAATTTGAATGAAACGTGTCTTGCACACATTGCATTACAATTTGCAATAACATGACGCAAATGCGGATTCCATCAAGTGATAACTTACAATCTTCCACTAAAGCGCAGTATCCATCACTCTTTCAGTTGATAATAAACATTGTCATGCAGCTCCAACCGTAGTGCGGTGCTTTTATGCGAAAAAAGTGGATGTTTCTGCTATTCCAATCTGAACAGAGCATTCTCATCTTACCGCCTTGAGCGTCTTCTTCCTACGGTGTGTGTTCACAGTCGGGCTGAGAGTAAGTTGTTTACACAACTTGGTCCTACATGCAACGAACTCCACTTCTCTATCTCATTGTTCGGCACATACTTGACTGCTCGCATGCCAATACCTGCCTCGCTCACTGGGGAATATCAGCATACAATACCCTTCTCGCCGGTTTCAGTTTGCCGAACCTTCGACAATCAGGCGACTCAATTCCCTTTTGTGCGGTTAACTAGACTACTGACTAGCCTCACTTCGCTTCGGCAATGCTAACCGCATTCCTTCACTCTGACTACAGAAATGGGTCACAATATCTAACCTGCATAACTGAGTTGATTAGCTAAAAACCGTCACTGAATCAACTGTTTACATCAAATAGCGTGTATTTGCTAGCTGAAGCTGTGCACATGGCTGTCTACCGGCTATCCCGACGCTTATTGTTTATTGTTACTCCATCTGGAGAAGCCACAAGGAAAACATTGGTTGCTTCACCTTAGACATGAAGAATTTAGTCGGAAAGTTTTATCAAACTAACGCGTGCCGCCTTCTTGAGCAGAAATCGTGCGCTCACCCACATCATTACTTCGGATGTCTCATCCCGTATTGCTACGTTACGGTGCAACTAACACTTTTCCACCTGGTCTGTTGCTTCTTTATTCGATGACTACAGCTCTTCTTCTACCGCTCTTTTCAAACACTTTTTCATCTATTCGCTTTTCGGGTTTTGTCTCATATTGGCCAAATCCACCGTACATTAGTGTTTGTATACTGGCTGAACGGTTGCGCCCTGATTTCATCGACAACATTGCAAGTTGTTCGTCCACACCATTCCCCCCGTGTGTTATAGCTGTTCCACGCATTGATGGGGGCAATTGTTGAACGTGCAGCAGGAAATGCTGACATTGGCAACAAGGTTTCAGGCTATTAGTCCATCTTCGAAGATGGAGTCCGCGTGGCTCCCCTTTTGTCTACATTGAGACGCCGCAAGACGACTTAGGACCGATGTCATCCGTCATTTTCTTGTTGTCTCCTAACGGAACAGACTATTTAAAATTTGCATGGCACAGGCTTCTCTGCGGGATGAAATTGTTTTTGGCGTGCCGGTGCAAACCGCTTTATCTTCCCACGGTAGCCTATTGGCTGCGACCGTGCATTTCTGTTGTTTACTTAGAGCGTCTATGTTTTGAATCCAGTCTTCCTCCCCCCTTTATTTCGCTACACTTCGTCCGCCCAATAATTGTAGTTGTATCGCAGCGAAGCATCGATCCAAACTGCTGATGTATTGCCATTCCCTTTTGCCGCTCCACGAATTCCATCTAACCGGTTGATACGGCTACTGTGCCAAAACCTAAAATGCGAACGGTGTTAGTCATTGTGGCAAATATCATAAACCATTTGTACCATATCCGAGCACAAACTGCTGTTCCACTTATCTTCGAACCCTCCACTGGAGGCTTCGTGGCGCTCGCTACTTCTGCACTTATTCCTGTTGCACAAATATACACAGTGCCCAAACTTTTTGTTTGTTGTTATTGGGGCGTTGGTTTAATCCGCTGTTAGTCCGTTACCGTCTGATTTTTCCGGCACTTATATACAACTGTCTGTTGACGCAGTAGTATGTGCTTTTGATCCACCGCAGCTCGAGCTGGTTAAAATCGAGTTGTTCCACACTATTGTGTGGTGTTCCTCTCTTCTCTCATGTGTTCCCTTTTTTCCTCCCAACCAGTACCACTGTTGTTACAACACTTCGCAACTTGGCTGCCCTGTATCGTCGGCAGGGGAAATTCGACGCCGCGGACACGGTTGAGGAGTGTGTCGACCGGACATCAAAAGCATCCAATTCGTTTCCTCGACATGTGAGCGATCATGCTGTTTTTTGTCATTTACCTACACTGGATCACCTAATGCCCGTACGATGACGAACTGCTTTTTGTCTTTTCTAAGCCAACTGAAGTTATGAACACCTCAGGAGCATAAAAGCAATGGGCCGTCGACATTGAAACAGTCAATCTTGAAAGATCTGTGGAAAGGAACCAGCGCTAAATGTTGTTTATCGACAATGCAGGGTGTTGCACCACGGTGGGATACAACTTTGCGCAAGTTTATCGATCGGTACGGCAGGTACTCTTGAATAACTAATACACCCTCCGACCGATGCGACTATTTCGGTTACCATGGCTCACGCTGTCACACGATAAGAAACTTAATCAGGATTCGAAAAACAAACAAGTGGATAAAATACAGTCTTTGGAAAGAAACTCAAACAGCGAACAAATTTTGTACTTGTCAAGTGTGAACGTGAACAGTGGTAATCTAGTGATTACATGCGGGAGCTCCGGTGACTTCGCTGCATATCCAAGTGGCATAGAGCATCTGATCGCACTGATGTGTGTCGAATTTTGAGACCTGCATCCATGAAGACTAAGCCTTTCGGTCACTTTCTTTGGAACTTGACGTTGACATCGATTTAGGGCGTAGACAACCATTACTGTAACCGTTAACGACATGCACTGGTGTACATTTAGTTAACAGGTGTTTGAAGAAGCTGACTTAGCCAACGCCAGTGGTTCAGACTCAACGGTCTCACCTGATATGCAACGTAGGTTTCCATAAACGGAGGTTCTCATGTCGCCCCACTGGTCGATGCCTATTTACTCCGATGCGAAACCCGTGGGGGTTGAGCATCGAATCGTATTCATTTTCCTGTTCACTCTAATACATTCAGATGCTTGCTTTTGCGCTTCTGTTAGGCGCAGCGTCGACGTCATAGATCCAGCGCCAGCTGCAGCGGCGCGAATTGTCTTACTGTCATCACTGAACTCCGAACCTGGTAGTCTGATGTTCGTTTAGACGCTGCAACTTCGGATGCATATTTTAGTGGTACGGCACACATCCCCAATCCAGTGCAAAGTGAGCATATAATTGGATTTTCTGACTCAGGCGACAGAGGGTAGACGTCGGGCGATTCGGTAGTCATTGAGGTCCCGGGTTTCTTATTTAATTCGGATACATTATCTGGTCATGTGTCGAAGACAGAAGTAATCTCTTTATGGTCTGAAATAAATGCAAATATTCGTAGCTCGGGGTGTGGATGCGAATTTTAAGCTGTTCTCTGAGCTGAGTGGTTGTTGTGCAGACGTTTCGTTGCCTGACAAGGCAACATCATCAGTGCGGCTTCAGGGGCCTGGTTCGCAGTGCCTCGTAAGCGACTTCAATGTCCAAGCGCTTATTGATCGAGCTCTGTACTTGATATCTTGGAACATATTTGAAACCGATCGGGAAGTCATCGTTTCAGAAAACTTGGTAGACGACCGGTTGATATATTTATGATGATACACGACGTTTCAATTTTGACACAAAAGCTTCATCAGGCTTGATGAAGCGATCGGAAGTGCTATTTGTTTCAGCGCCAGCATCACTGCCTCGGCTACAAGACTAGAGATTGGCGATCCCATTTGTGTGCCTCTTATCTGTTCGTAAATTTGGCCATTGAAAGTGAAATGTGTTGTTAGACAGATTTCCAGTAACTCCATCATCTGCTTGGAGTGCTTGTATGAGACGACGTGTGCTCCTCATGCAGCTTCGTCATTGTTTGTTTCCCCAAGCTGATGTCAGTTAAGATGAACAGGGCGGTAACATCAAACTAACCATTATTTCGTTCCGTTCAATGGCTGTGGTTTTAAGTTTCTCGAGGAACTGTTCTGCCGGGTTGCTCGAGTGCTCCGATCCTGCGGTTAGGTGTTTTAGCCATCTCCAGAGCTCCTTTGCAAGCCTGTAATTTGGTGCTCCAGGTAACGACACGATGGGGCGTAGCGGCACTCCGCTTTGGTTTACTTTAGGTAAGTCATAGAACCGCGATAGTACCGAGTCTTGTAATCGCATTAGCTTGTGTTATAATTTTGCGGTTTTCCCCTTTGTTCCAATTTTTTTTCAGAATGCGTCTAATGTTGCATTCTAAGTGTTTTGTCGGGTCTTCGTTTATCGGTTGGTATGTGTTGGTATCACTGCGTAGGTGTTGTGCTTTCATCATGTGATCAGATTTGTCCATCATAACAGTAAGGCGTCCTTTGTCGGCCTACAGTGTAACTATACTCTTGTCTTTCTTAAGGTTCTTCAGAACTTTCCGTTCTGCGGCGTTGAATATGTTGGTTTCAACTTTATAACAGAGCCGGGATGACTCTGTGTCTGACCTCTTGTTGTGCTTCAGGCGCGATGTTGTACGATTTTAGCGTCGATTCAAGTACAGCGAGGAAGTTGATGGGATTGGAGTTGCATGCCTCGGACAATGACTGCTTTTTCCGCTTCCGTCAATCTTCTTTTGGATATGTTTGCAATCCAAGCATTCTCTTGTTTAGGCAATTTCTTTTACGAAATTGAATTCAGCTTCTCTTCAAGCCTCCGTTTGGTGTCTAACTTCGTTTTATGTGTTTCTGCGGCTATCGCTTTTTCCAAATCCTCAGTCAGTTGTGATCCTAATCAACATAAGCAAATTGCCTTCTGTTCGTCAATTACCATTCAGTATTTATGTTTTCGACTGTGTGTATCTGCAATCAACAGGTGTAACATTCTTCGCCCATGTTTTTCCGTTATGTTCCAATCCAAAGGATGGTTGATCGGAGGACGATAGTGTAGACTCGGTGGCAAAACTTGCCTTCGCAAGCATTTGTGGAAGAAATAGAGCTGCCCGTCGGTGGATAACTTCTGACTGGTCATTTTTGGTGAGCCGTTTGCGGGGACCTAAGGCGGATAAAGGAGAAGAAAAGCGTTGTCACTCTCGAGTCACTCACTTCGAAGAATGTGAACCTTTGACTTGAAATTCTGACTCGCAAAGCATTAGAGAGCAGAAGTTAGAGGTGGAGAACATTTCAGCAGCTTTGAGCGACTTGATGCGGTTCAACTATGCTCTTCTGTTGTTGCAGATGACGCACTTGAGCCCATCGTTAGTTGGAGGCAATTCTTGGTTGGTTTCCTCAGGAACTGTTTGGTTTGCTTCGAATAGTTGTGATCTCCCGCCTTCGGACTAGTGGCGCTGGTGCTTCGCACCAACTTTCGTCTCTTATCCCCAGAAAGAAGGCCATAAATCTTCCCTTGACCTTTTTATGAATAGAGTTTTGGGACCGAGTTTGCCTAACTCCTGGTATGATTGGCACATAAATGGTGCCACTCAACACGACCCGGTGAATAGCCTAGACACACAAACCATTGAAATACATGCAAGTCCAGTTTTCTTCGCATTTGGCCTCTTCCCTATTTTTGGTGCTGATCGATTGTTGGTAACGAAGATAGCAAACATTTAGCCTTGACTGCGGATAACGAAGATCCATTTCCTTTTCACTTTGCTCTTCACAATCGGGCCATTACATATGTCGTGAATGTGCACATCGGCGGCGGCTGTCTGTATTGTGTACTAGCTTGTTAATTTGTACTGCGATCGGTATTTTCTCTCATGTTGTGCTAGACTTTCAGCCTTTTGTCCTCCTTTACGTCCCCTATTTCCCCTCCATACACGCGTTGGTTATTTCGCGTTATCAATTCACCATTGTGTATAGTACATGTATATTGACAGCATTGCTGTGGCCTTTTCCCTTAACCTTATTCGCCTCTGAGATGACGCCATTTTTTCCATTCCTAGCCTGACAAGGGTCAGTTCGATGGGCCCCGGAAGTTCTGAGTCATTTCGCTTTCTCGGTAAGACGTGTGTTATATAGATATGTATATGCTATTGTTTCTTATTTCCTACTTTTCGCCCTTTTTGTACTCACTGCTTCCGCACAGCCACTCGAATATACTTAGAATTTGCCCGTTTTTTTTATGCCGCACACCCTTCCAACTCCTTCCTCAGCTCCTCGTTGTAGCCTTTAGTTCCTTAGTTCGGCCACCGCCTACTTTCTCAAACTTGTTTCACCATCACCCCAATTGGGGTTAGAAGTATTATCGTTCTACTTAGTCGAAGAGTTTGATGCGTGATATTTTGTGCGAATGGAAGTAGCCATGCGACCTTACTTCAAACCGCGTTCACTTTAAGATATGAGCCTCCATCTTATCTATTACTTCGGTTCAGTTCTCTTCAGTTGAACAACTATGATCCGAGCACCGAAACGTGGTGAGTCCAGTTGTCACAACTCACATCGCAAGAATAACAATTACTAACAACGGCAGGATAGTTGGGTTGAATGCAAATACAATATAAAGAAAATAGAAGCAAGGAGGTGTATTAAATTAATCAGAATGGAACGAAGCTTAACAACCAGATGCAAGAAACCGAATGCAGTAACCCCAATGACTGCGTGGCTGCGCTATGTCTGACAAGGTCTCCAACCATTAGTGTGGACCGTCCCGATACCTCCATCCAGCCTGACCAAGTCTCTCAGTCAATTTTTTCATACCCCGATACCATGTCATGGACTGGCCACCTCGCTGTTTCACCCGACTCGGTGCAGCCACGGCGTATAATGCACGCAGAGGAAGTTGATCAACGGACATACAACAGACATGGTCTAGCCAACCTAAGCGATTAAGATTCAGTAAACACTCGAGTGAGGAACCAGAAGGCTTCTTGCCTCAGCGTTGCTCACCTGGTGTTCCCGCCAGCCGTAATCAACACTCCGCAAGCACCGGTGGTCAACCACGGTGAAGTATTTAATGTCTTCGCCGCGAACTGGCCAGGTGTCTGGTTCATACAGTAAGACCTGCCTTATCGCCACGTTATATACCCTACCTGTTGTACTGCTGCCTTACCTGTGAAACTGCGACCGTCTGTCTGCTCAGTCACGCGCCCAGCCAACCGAAGCAATACAAAAATCCGAACTTGCTAGACAGAGAGAGTCTCTTTACAGAATAGCTCGACTCTATTTATTGGTAACAGAAACATGCAACTTTAAGAGTTCAAGGTCACCCACTCTACTACGTCTGGTTCTCAGCCAATGTGAGTGCATTCCGCTCCAGATGTTTACCATATTGACGGAATAGTTCGATTCCATTGACGCGAGCTTGTGTTTGCTGGCCGACCAATTCGCACTCGATTCCCGAATTCGGCGGAATGGTCAAAAATCGTACCACGTCCATACTGATGACCTTTGCATGTAACAGACAGTCTACATGCTCCGCTTACGTCTCTATTACTACCTTTCACTGACAGACTGTTATCTCGCTGTCTACATAGGCGTTTGAGTCTATGGAAAGTCACACGGGCCTTCATGATTCGCGATTTAACTTTCTCAATGATGTGACCACCAGAGATGACGCGGCTACCAAGATAAGTAAGCCGATCCGCCACTTCCAGTAGTTGTTCGGTGATAACTAGAACCGGAGATGTGTCGGTCCAGTCCTACAGCAGTACTTTACACTTTTGTGCTGCAAAGCACATACCAAGGCGTGCAGCGCTACGCTTCAGTATCCAGCAATGTTTTCATAGTCACTGAGTTAGACTCAAGGACAGCAATGTCGTCCGCATACTCCAGGTTTGTCAGCTGTCACCTGGCAAAACTCCGGTAAAGTCTGAAAGAGCGGAGCCACTGATGATCATTTCGATCACACAGTTGAACAGGAAAGGAGGTGTAGGACAACCCTGGCAAACCGTAATTGTTCTGGGGGATTCAGGAGACAGATATCCGTAGACCCTTACACGGCCTCGAGAATCACTATACGGAGACTGCATAATGGAAAGGAGTTTAGCCTGCACGCTCTTCATGGATAGGCAGTGTCACAAGCTGATGCGGTCAACAGAGTTGAAAGCAGCTTTCAATTCACGGAAAACCACCATAATCGATTGTCTGGTGTGTCTGCTCTAAAACCTAGCGAAGAATAATTATATAGTGTATAAGTCCACGACCAGGACTGAAACCAGCTTGGCTTTAATTGATTCGATTTTCACGGGGACCAGTAAGTTGTCGGAAAATGATCCTGTGGGAAGTTTAGAGGAAGCGAAGACAAGGATGATGCCTCAATGACTTTGGCACAAAGTACGCTGACCCTTCTTGAAGATGGGCACGACAGTTGATAGTCTCCAGTCTGAAGACACCTCTTCTTTGTCCTAAGTCGTGTCAAATAGAGTAGCGAGTCCATTCAACAAATAGTCACCAACTTTCAGCAAAGATGGAGAAGCATCGTCGGGTCCAGGAGCCATGTTTCGTTTCAACACGGAAAGCTCATGTCGAATCTCTTCCAAAGTGTTAGATGTGACATATACTTTCCACATAGGCTAGCGGCCGTGCCGCAGCAGGTCTGCTGAACTGCTCTTCAAGATGTTCAACCCAATGACCAATTGACGACGTTGAGAACGAATCAACTGTCCATCTTTCTCAGCTATTGTCTCTCTAAGTGATTGCTTTCTGGAATCCGTATCTCGGATGAACTGGAATCACACTGACTTTCTCCATCTCACGGGCCCTAGACAACCACCAACTTCCCAGATCAACTCGAAGACCCATTGTCAGACATCGTTTCACTGAGTTACGGTCTCGCTGAAACTCAGTGCCTATTGGACCCTGTTTCTGTGTTCCCATCAAACTGATCGATGCCTCAGAGATCCATTCACAGTTGTGATGTCTCAATTTTGGTGCGCAGCAAGCCTCAAGAGCATTCTTCATGCTGCATTTGAGACGATTCCAGTCGGCGTTCGGCTCACCAACGTCATTGATCACTGACAATTGGTGGTCCATTACGTCATGATATTGCTGAACTGCAGGTTGCGGGTTCAGGTTACGGGTAAAAAGGTTGGGAGATAGGCGTTTCTTTGAAGCGGGAAGAGTGAGCATAGTCGGAATCCAGCACGTGCTCCAAATTGACCGACAATCTTGGACTAATGTGCGCCATTTTTGACCTCTTGGACCGCATCTGATATCGGTACATGTTTTGAAAATACTCCCTTCCAACACTGGACTCTAAAGTTGCGTCCTTGTTCAGACTTCTCAAGTAAGACTAGTGGACGAAGCGAGCGATGTGACTTTGCCATCTCGTATGAAGTTGCCAGGTGACAGACTACACGAGCAGCTTCTGTTAGGATTCACGGTTTTGGAAAATATTCCTTAGCAATCTGGCAGTGTATTTGTTTCGTCATTCGAAGCTATTCGCGCTTCAGTTTATCCTCTGTGTATGTTTGGAGTACGATACCTAGACCCGCATCAGACGACAGTTTGTCTCGTTAAATCCCAGGATAATATTCTTTCCGCTATGTATTTTTGTTCAGTAATCGAAAGTATCTTCACTTGCTATTTGGCACAAATTGAGGTTGCACCCAGCGTCATATCGATGGTTGGGTGGCTTTGCTACTACTACACATTTTAGCCGATAGCTTTGATACAATCATGGCGCTGTGGTTTTCACTTCTTGGCCCTCATCGGTTAGCATCGACTGTACCGCATATTCGATACCAGAACCCACCTCTTCACGTACCTGATTGGAATGTTGGATGGCATAGTGGTCGACTTGATAGCGCAAACTGAACTCGCTGATCACTTAGTTTGGGTGTTTTTACTCTGTTTTGTCCTCCACTCTGTCCTTGGTTGGAGACCTTATGAAACACATGAATCACAGCCGATCCTCGGGTTAGGGCGCTTACGTGTCGCGTCTCATCGCCGGTTTGCATGTGTATGTGTGTCTGATGCTGTTTTACTACTGGTGGGGTTAAGAGGTTGGTTATGGAGCTGTATGGTGAACGCCACCCATCACTGCCCCAACTTCTTTGTTAGTATAGATGCAATATTTGCAAGGTGTATCATACACCTTGTTCCAGAATGCTTACTTCGAAAAATAATAATGTGTCAGCAGTACGCCGTAACCGTGCTTCACTGCCGCGCGACGATCATCAGTTGCGCGTGGGCTGAGTGTACCGCGAAGGCTTGCACACCTACGCGGATTTGAACCGGTGATCTTTTGATTGCAAGCCAGGCGTGCACACCACTCAGCCGACGCTTACTTATAGCATCCAGCCTTTATCTTACGCCAAGGTTTCGTTTTCTTACTAATTCTAATTTGGCTGATTCTGATCCTTAGTGCCAGAGCCGAAGCTGCCCTTCTCAAATGGACCGTTCAACAGTCGTCTTTGTGTTGTCAGGCTACATGACTCGTGCAAGGTTAACAGGCGTCGAAAAGATGAACGTGCTCTTTTTGTAATCTCCGCCTATGCTCCAACGAAATGTAGCCCAGATACCGTCAAGGGCCAATTCTATAAGAACCTTCATGATTTTCTCTTAAAGGCCCCCAAAACGGACATCATTATTATGGCGGGGGATTTCAACTCGCGTGTTGGTCATTTGTTACCAAGCGAACGCCAGCTTGGAGGTCCACATGGATACGACAACTTTCGTTCAGACAATGGTGAAAGAATACTCAGTTTGTGTGCTGTCCACCAACTTTACCTCTCCAGCACGAATTTTCGCCACCCTAGGCGTCACTACGCCACCTGGCACGCTCCATCATCTCCTCAAGGTTGATCACAGATTGACCACATCACCATAAGTCATCGCTGGCGTGGCAGTATTCGGGACTGCATATCCTATTGGTCAACATGCGTGGAAACTGATCATGCGCTAGTACGTGCGTCGGGTTGCATGCGTTTCGGTGGCTCGCCTAAGACTAGACAAACTCGAATTAACTCTGGTAAACTGGAAGACCCCGCCGTACAATTGGAATATCTAAAGCAGCTTCGTGAGAATCTCATTTCTCCATCTCCTCGGGACGTTGATCAGCATTGGTCGCAATTGCAACACATTATGTTTTCAGCGGGTTTATCCAGTTGCGGTCTTGTTCGTTGCACAACTAAAAGTTGGGTCTCGGCCACCCCGAAACTTCCCAACTATCGGCGAACTATACCCGTCAGTGTGGAGCACACTGACCTCCGCCGTTCTATTTCCAGACAACTGAAAGTGAGTCTTCGCCGTGATTGCGAATTCTGGTGTTCTAAACAGGCCAAGGAAATGGAAGTTGCTGCCTCTGCTGGTAATAGCCGCAGGTTGTTTTATCTCATCAGATCCACCGGACGCAAAGTTCAAGCCATCAGTCAGACCATCTGTGAGTCAGACGGTACAAAGATCACCAACCTACGCAGACGCTTGGATCGCTGGGCAGAGGACTACAGTTTAATTGCCCAACACCACATCCGGTTACACCTCCACTGCCATCATGTGATCCTTGGTCATTCTGCATAGATCCTCCCACTGAAGCAGAAATACGGAGAGAAATCCAGACTCTGAAGCGCCACAAAGCTCCTGGCCTTGACAGTCTTCCTCCGTCTTTATTCAAAGATAGGGAACTTAGTTGTCACCGAAATTCTATCACTGTTCACAAAGGTATGGAGCGATGAATACTGAATACTGTATTATAGAGCAAGTAGAAATGAATTCTGTACAACTCTCGAAATATGGTGAAAAACATTATAAAAGTTGTTAGCCGTGAATATCGTTGTCGTTCTCATGTAACATTTAAAATATCTGACTCACGATATTGCAGGACTCACAAATGTGATATGTCATCGTAAGTGTGCAATCGTTCTCTGAATCGAATAATGGTAAGATATAAATCTAACAACGTTTTGAACTGCTGCACAGATGTTGCCTCCATCACATGTTCCGGTAAACTGTTCCAAATGTTTACCACTCTCCGTTCGAAGCACAGTGGGTGGGGAACACGTTTCACATCCGGCACGACAAGTTTGTATCTGTGTCCGCGTGTGCTGCATGGCCCTCGTAAGTGCAGCATTGACCTTAGCATTGGGAAGTCACCGAGATGTAGAATACGGTAGGTCATAATGAGGTTGACTCGCACCCGACGGTAGGACAAGGTGTAGAGTCCTAGATTCTCGCACCGGTCTTCATACCCCAAGCCACGTAAACTCGGGATGAGCCAGGTAGCAACGTGTTGGACCCGTTCGATCTTTAGTGCCTGGCCTCGGGTAATCGGAAAGTAGGCGGGCGAACCGTACACTAGCATTGATCTAATGATAGAAGAGAAGAGGCGAGTGATAACCTCTTCAGACCATATGCCGAAGCTACGTTTAAGCGCCCAAAGCATGCGCAGTCCGTTACGATATAGCCTATTCGTGTTGTCCTCGGACTTCAAATCGTAGCGCGAGAGTACACCTAGGTCCTTCACGGAGGGTGTGGAATATAGCGGTTGGCCGTCAAGGGTGTAGGTTCGGCCGTCAGCACCCTTCCCCAGGCTCATAAATACAGACTTGGCTGGGTTGACTGGAAGAAGAACTTCGGCAGACCATGTGGATTGGCGGTGGAGGTCTTGCTGAAGTAGTCCACAGTCATTGGGAGCGTCAATTTCTCTCCAAATCATGTCATCCGCAAACAAGGCACATAGCGACCGGAGAAGCTGCGGTAGATCGTTGATGTGAATCATGAACAGAGTGGACCCGAGGAACAGAGATGAGAAGATTCCTAACGCATGGGGAGAATCTGTTGTGGTTCCGATCCACTAGAAGGGCTCTCGTAGTGAATGCACCAACTACCGAGGAACCTCATGTCTGTCGCTTTCAAGCTCTTTGTGTCCATTCTGCTGCGTAGGCTCTCAGTTATTTGCGAGAGTTTGTGTCGTGAGGAACAGACTGGCTTTCGTTCTGGCCGTGGTTGCATTGACGAAATTTTCCCGTTGCATCAAATTATCGAACATCGTCATGTCACCGAAGATCAACAATGGTGGTGTTTTTGAATATCCGAGGCGCTTTTGATTCAGTAGATAGGTCCTAGCTGTGGAACTGTCTGCTACGGAACGGCATTCCCGGCAAATTTGTCATACTCTTGAAAGAGCTGTATAGTCACCCCTCTGGCAAAGTTAGTGCTTATGGAAGGCTTTCTTCTTCCTTTCCCGTTACCAGTGGTGTGCGCCAAGGTCGTCTTACCTCGCCGTTCCTGTTCAACTTTAGCATTGAAGATGTCCTATATCGCGCATTGGAAGGAGCCTAGAGCTGCGGCGTTGAGCTTCTACCCGGTAGTAGAGTCATGGACCTGGACTGTGCTGATGACATCGCTTTGCTGGGGGATGACTCGCAGGTTGTTCAAAACATTCTGAACCGCTTAGCGATAGAGGCATCTAACTACGGTCTGTATTTTGCTCTATCCAAGTGTAAAGCTTTGCTCCAGGATTGGCAGGATCCTGTGCCTATGCTCACCATTTCGTGTGTCAGCCTGGAGCTCGTTAACAACTTTACTTACATCGGGAGTTGCATTGTGGCTGGTGGCGGTATTGGCGATGAAATTTCACAACGAATTGCCAAAGCTCACCTTGCATTTACTAACCTGAGACACTTGTGGCGTCGTCGCGATGTCAGTCTCAAGCTCAAAGACCGAGTGTACAATGCCACAGTCCGTGCTGTCCTACTGTACAATTGCGAGACCTGACCTGTTCGATCGGAAGATTTGAGACGACTGTCTACTTTCGACAACCGCTGCTTGCGTTCGATTACTCACTTATGGTGGCAGCACCATGTGAGCAACGCGGAAGTTAGAAGCAGAATCATGGGAGCGACAGTCCTGGTCTCCAGAGCATAATCGTCCAGCACCAATTGCGTTGCCTTGGTCACGTACTGCGCATGCCGGCCCACCGCCTTCCACGTCGCGCATTATTTGCACTTCCTGGACGCGAATGAAAAAAGAGCCGTGGCGGACAACCGATGACCTGCAAAAGGAGTATGAAAATCCTGACTTCGTGTCTAGCGTCAGTTGGATCTGTGCGTCTTCCAGGCTGAGGACCACGTGAAGCGGGTTCCCAATGGTTGGAAGTCTTGGAGGATATGGCCAGCAATAGGAGTCAGTGGCGTCAATGCTGTTCTGTCATCTCTTCATCCTGTGCTTTTCAATGTTGAACAAAACATGAAAACAGAAAAAATCTCAAAACAGCGTGTGTGAAACTGAAAACATTTTTCTAACGTTTTACTCTCTCTCCTCGTTGAACATTACATTCTCCTTTTCATACCACCGTGGTTCGGATGGCACATTTGTCTGTTTACAGATTTGTGAATAAATAATAATAATAATATCTGATCCAATGACCGCGACACTTCGGCACATCTAATTGCCATCGTCATCAGAAGTACTACTGCTGCTAGGTTTTTTCGTACCTTGATACACGGTTTGATCTCCACTAAAGCGCATCCTTTGTTTTTGTCCTCGTCACTGAGACGCCGCAACCGTGCAGTTTTGTGTCTATTTGTTTCCCTGTATTCTCACGTGGCTATTTTAATGTCACTATTCGTTCGTCGGGCACTAGTGTGCCACCCTCGAATGAAATGTTGCACGACCAATCAAATTCCTCCTTCTCCTCTTCGCTTCCTACTTACATTTGTTCGTTGAATATTTCAGAGTCATCTCGTGGAACTTTCTCAGTTGGTGCAACAGACCACCTTTGAACTACAAACCCATAACTCTGTGGTGACAAATGGCTGAGGAGAAGTTTCGAAATGTTTTCTTGACATCGCTCACTCTCAGCCTAGTTCCGGTGTATTATAATTGGTTCAGATATCCTCTTCGTCCGCATTCTGATGTATCTCAGAATTCGTTTCTTTTTGGCACCGGTTTTTTTCGTTTCCCACCCCCATTTGCTTGCATAAAATGGAGTCTCCGAGAATTGAGCATCCACATGTCATCTTCAATTATCCCTTTTATCATGTATTCATTTGGCTGTGATCTTATTGTGCTGAACTGTCAAATGCTGATCGGGTTTTTCCGTTCCTAGTGACCATTTTTCTGAATTTGTTCGGGACACTATTTTTCCTCAAGTGTCACACATATTCAGCCATAAAAATATATAATCTGCCTTCTATCGTGTGCTGTCTTTTTGCTCCTGCTTGATCCACTTCAGGTATTGATATTTTCCGCCGTTAAATCTACTCTCAGATCGCAAGGTCTCGAAATGATTTGAAACACTCGTAGCCCGGGTTGGTTCTCACTCGATACACTTCTAGTTTGGCTGAGTTTAGAAATCAGCTGATTTTCTCTCGACGACACTTGGTTGCCACCTTCCTGAAACACTAATTTCCTTACGCCGAACTGATTTCGTAAGACGTTTCGCAGGATCCGTGGTTTTATTAATGGGCCTAAGATCTCTAAACGTACGCAGTGTACAACTAGAGTTGAGGTTGATTAGAGGGTCATTTTGAAGTACTCCTTGTGTGAGTGGATTGCGACTCGCAATCTCAAGCCGGTTTTAATCGCCATCAAGAATTCCACAACATGCGTGATAGACGTGGCACTATGCGACACCTACGGTGTAATTGCTCATGCGGAAGCCATAGCCCGCTTTATGCGCTCAGAATTTCCTACAGCATTACATATTATCAATAATCAGCCTCATATATTCCCTGCCTCTTCTAAGCACATTCCGACACGGGCTCACCAAACTTGACGTATCAGCCTACCATGAGAGGATCCCTTAACGTGTACGACACCTACATGTGGGGTGGGATTTCACGATAGATCTCACACATTTGCGGGCGGTCCCGACCAATTTTTTGCGCTTGACATGATTACTGTTTCGATACTTACACCAGGACATTTGTCCAATCCCGGCGAATTTATGTAATGTCCAGGTCTTGAGCTATGCATGAATTTGCTGAAAATATATGTCCACAGACTACGATTCCCATTGATGTGATCCGTAACGGATGAATTAAATGAATATCGGGTGTAGCCTGCCCGAAAATTGCATTTCAAGACGCGTTTCCACCTTATTTGATCTCTTCAGGTAGAGGTAGCAGGCCTCGAGCTCGGGACCATTGGGATGTTATTTGGGAATTCTATCCCTTTGGCCACCGGGTGACGACGGTTAACGATTGACTAGATCGGGTGCTCCAAAAAAACCCGAAAATCTACTTCTAACCGCTGTGTCAAGCACTGCTCGCGGAACTCAATGGCCTAGTGATCATGGCGATAGCCGCCAAGCCCTAATCCCTGAGCTCCACTCCTAGCTCAGCTGTCTCTACCTGATAAGTCGAAACAAAGACGAAACCGTCGGTCGTGGAGTGCAGGGATAGGAGAGAGCCACACCGAAACCCTCGACTGACTAGAGTGTGATTTTGAAGTAGCCGTTATGTGAATGGATTGCGACGCGCATTCACAGTGTAGACGACGATTCCTATTGAAGTGAACCATGATCGTTTCGATCACTGAGGTCAATAACTGATGAAGCAAAGCCATTTTGGGTGTTTGCGCCAGAAAACAACACTGCATTCCACGATATCACTCTTTTTGATTACCATCAAATTGACAACATCTCCTTTGTGGTAGGCGGACTGCGTCTATTTTGTGCATATCATCAATACACGTTTGCTAAAAGTGAGAAACACTTCATCTGCTGTGTCGGATTAATAACAAAGCATTTTAATACTCATCCGCTTCGCGACTACAGGTTCTGTATATTAGCAAAACTCGAAACGGTGGGTGGAATGTAATGTAGTGGTAAACTTAGGTTGAATCAGTACTACGACTCGCAGAGAGTTCGCGTGCGCATGCTTACGAGTATCGTTCAAAAGTACTCGATGAACAAATGCCGATATCTTTTGATTAATCATATGGCTAAGAACAAACACGTGTCAAAGCCAGTCGGATTGGGGTGGTTCGGACAACGAGCCCTGTGTGACAATACTTCCTCTTTTAACCGGCGCTATCCTCAGCGCCTGAGACTCACTTCGCTGGTTTCAGCCTCTTGAAGTGTACAACGTCGAAGAACTGGAGCACACCAGGTTTCCTGATTCGGTTTGTCAGTTCTGACAACTTTTCAGTTTCGACGGAATTTTGCAGGGACGCCCGGTGTTATTACCGCTACTTTAATCCATACCGTGTCACCTGGTTTGCACGGATTTCCGAGAGCCTTTCGGCCAAAGTAAACATCTGCCAGCTGGTGGGCTCGCAACAGACTCGGCTGCAATCGAAGTATGTGATCCGATGTTATTAGAGGTTCTTAGTATAATGTTGGCAACAGAGTATCGAAGGGTAGCCGCAGCACAAGGTCACGGCCAGTCACCATAAGATGTGGTCGACGGTTAACCATTTAGGTATAGCAATGTCCTATTCATGAGGCGTCTCGCTATTCAGGAACAACCGATAACACATTCAGAGTGCGGTTGTTACGCTCACCTGGCCCGTTACCTTCTGCGTGACACGCAGTAGTCTGTCTTTCGAATGCCGAAAATCTGACACAGCTCGCTCCTGAGTGTGCTTTCGAAGTTGTCTCTGCAATCTGAGTCTAACTGATAGGGTGACCCCCACCTTGTCACCCAACTGCTGAGGAGACCTGGTGCCACACTCCATTCGTCTGTAGTTTGAAAGCGTACTGCTTCCTGCCATTTGGTTAAGTGCACCACCATCACGAGAGAACGTAACGATTGCCTTTAGTAGTCACTTGTGATATGGGTCAACAATGTCGATACCCACGGTCTTATTTCTAAAATCCAATCGTCATTGGCTCCAGTGGATCCGCAACGAATGGTTGTTTGGTTTCTCGATTCTTGCCGCAATCGGCGCACGACTAGCAGTATGTAGCGAGTTCCCATCTTAGATGGTGCCAGCAGAAACCGACTTCGAGTTGCAGTCACCATCTTATTCCATCCTGCGTGCGCTAACTCCTCACGGATCTTGAGCATCAGTTGCTACGTGTTGCACAAGTGGACACAACAGTTCTTCGTAAATAAGCCGGTCCGTTTTGGAATTACAAAACACCGTCGATAACGCGTGAATGCGGCCATAGTGACCATAAGAATTTGAATTCCTAACTGACGCCTGATGCTTTGGTTGTTCTTCATCCCGGACGGTGCGATTATACAAGAGGCTCAGCTCCGGGTCCGACGACTGCAACTGAATCCAGTTCTCTGTCTCCAGGGTGACGGTATTTACGCAAGCCGCTGTGCACGAAGGGCATGGTCCATGATCCCTTGCACGCGTTCAGGCTAACAAGTTGACAGTAAATAAAAATAATGGTGTCAGCTGTACGCCGTAACGGCGCTTCGCTGCCACGCGACCAACACCAGTCGAGCGTGGGCTGAGTATACCGCGAAGCCGCCCATGCCTACGCGGCGGATTCGAACCGGTGACCTTATGGTTGCAAACCAGGCGCGCAGACCACTCGGCCACCGGCCGACACAAGTTGACATTCCCATGCGTTGTATCCGGGTGGTGTTGACATTCAAAATTATATTCCTGCCAACGGGCGATCTGTCCCGCGGAGTTCCGAAAGTGTTGGAGCCAGATCAATGGTTGGTGATCAGTACGTACAATGAGTATGCGACCGAGCAGATAGTGCCAAAATTGCTTGATGAAAAACACGAACGCCATCATTTCCTTCCGTGTTGTGCAATGGTTCCGCTCCCTCTGCGAAAGGCTTCTGCTGGCATACGCGATCACCGGTTACATTCCTTCCGCCTTACTCTGTGGGTACCGCTCCATTAACAGTGTTACTAGCATCTGTGTCTGAAATGAGGGGGCCCGCAGATTGACGCGTGTCAGGGAATGTCAAAATCGATGCTTCACACATTGCAGTCCGAATCGTTTCTAATGCTTCTCGTGCCCACTTCCCCAAATGAAAGTTTGACGATCCTTCAGAAGTGTGTTCATCATACTTGCGATGTTGGCAAATTGCTGAACGAAGCGCTGATATTGAGGCAAGGCAGAGAAAGCTACGCAATTCATCAGCGGTCTTGAGGCCGACCATGAGCACACCCGCTCAACCTTCGCCTGGTCGCAGCGTACTCTTTCTCCAAACACATGTGACCTAAGTAGGACACTTCTTCCCTTAGAAATTGACACTGGTTTAAGTTTTGACCTCAGCTGCAATAGACGATCCAGCACAGCTATAAGGCCCTGACTGTGCTCTTCCGTAGTTCTGCCATGCATAGTGATCTCGTCTAGATAAATTAGACAACTCTGCTAGAGCTGTGTGCGTCAAGCCCCGAAACGTTTCGGGCGCATTTGTTAAACTGAACGGCGTGGTTTGGAATTCGTGCAGTCCGGAGGGGACACTAAACGCAGACTTGTACCTGTCGTCAAGGTGTAGGTCGACCCACCAATAACCTTATGTCAGGTCTAAGGTAGTAAACCAGCTTGAGCCACTGAGAGCGTCCATCGTGTCATCCATTCTTGGTAATAGAAAGGAGTCCTTACGAGTAACCGAGTTTAGCTACCGAAAACCTACACAAACCCGCAGTTCTCCGCCTTTCTTTTTGACAGGAACAATGGGCGATGCCCATTGGCGTAAAACTACTTCCAGGCAACCGCACGACTACTTAGACTATGCCGATGATATTGCTTTGCTTGGTGACACCACACACTTTATACAACTCATTCTAAACCGCTTGATGATTAAAGCTACCAGTTATGGCATGACCTTCACCCTATCTAAATGCAAAGCCCTACTTCAGGATTGACATCCACCTGCTCCCGTGCTGATTCTTGAGGGCGCGCAGCTTGAATAAACAAGTGTATAGCCTCATCTACCTTGGGAGCTGCGTTTCTGCTGATGGCCCCATTAGAAGATAGATTTCTCTCAGTATTGCCAAAACCTCATCACTTTTCGCTAATTTGAGACATCTCTGTTTCGTCTAGACATTTCACTCTCGGTGAACGGCAAGGTATACTATGCCTATGTTCGCGCGGTACTATTGTTCGGAAGTAGATCCCGATCGATCCGTGTAAATGTCGTGTCGGATTTCGCCTTCTGACGACGGTTGTCTACGGAGGATATCTGGTGTGTGGCGGGAACACCACGTTTTCAACGACGATGTCACATCCTACGTATGCAATGCAAGCGTTTATCATGACGTGCTGTATTCGCT